GCATTCATATTTTACCCTTCTCGTCGTCCTCAAATTACCAAACTTGCACAATTTATGCCATCTTACTTCACCCATTTTTCAGATTTTTACATTTCTCCATACTCCGGCGTTCACCGGATTTGCACACTTTCAGAAAACGTAAAAAGTGATTTATCAAAAGTTGGAACATGAACCCGAATTCGGGTGCAGTGGTGATGGACTTGCAGAGAGGATAAATGAACCGGGAACTGAAGATATTGGGTCAGAACAGGAAAGATTGAATTTTGTCCAACTAGCGAACCGTAATCCAGTGGAAATATATAAAGAGATTAGAAATGGTGTGAAGTCTGAAAAGAAAAGCCGGGCTGATTGGGATATTTTAACTGAGATTTTTAGGTCATTTTCCATGTCCGGTTGGGCATCAAACCAGGCCCTAGCTATTTATATTGGTGCCTCATTTTTCCCCACTGCTGTTCACGAGTTCCGCAAGTTTTTCTTCAAGAACTGTAAGACTGATTTAGTCAAGTACTTGGTATCGCTTGGCCCTGGTGATGAGGCAGATAAGTTTTTATTCCCCGTTTTTGTTGAGTTTTGTATTGAAGAGTTTCCAGATGAGATTAAGAAATTTAGGAAAATGGTGGACACAGCTGACTTGACAAAGCCACACACTTGGTTCCCTTTTGCTAGGGCAATGAAGAGGAAGATTATTTATCACTGTGGACCAACTAACAGTGGCAAAACATATAATGCGTTGCGGAGATTTATGGATGCAAAGAAGGGAGTTTATTGTAGTCCTCTCAGGTTGTTGGCAATGGAGGTTTTTGATAAAGAGAACACATTGGGGGTTTATTGTAGTCTTCTTACTGGACAAGAGAGGAAGGAATTTCCATTCTCAAACCATGTTGCTTGTACCGTTGAGATGGTGTCAACAGATGAGCTGTATGATGTGGTCGCTATTGATGAGATTCAAATGATGGCCGACTCTAGCAGAGGTTATGCTTGGACTAGGGCATTGCTCGGGCTGAAAGCTGATGAGATACATTTATGCTGTGATCCAAGTGTTCTAAATATTGTTAGGAAGATTTTTTCTGATACTGGGGATGAATTAGTAGAACAACAGTACGACAGGTTTAAGCCTCTTGTGGTTGAGGCAAGAACCCTATTGGGAGATCTGAAAAATGTGAGGTCTGGGGACTGTGTTGTAGCATTCTCAAGGAGAGAGATATTTGAAGTTAAATTGGCAATTGAGAAGTATACTAATCACCGTTGTTGTGTTATATATGGTGCTTTACCACCAGAGACTCGTCGACAGCAAGCGGCTTTGTTTAATGATCAGGATAATGAGTTTGATGTCTTAGTTGCAAGTGATGCTGTAGGAATGGGTTTGAATTTAAATATCAGAAGGGTTGTTTTCTACAACCTTTCAAAGTACAACGGTGATAAGATGGTTCCAGTGCCAGCATCACAGGTGAAACAGATTGCCGGAAGAGCTGGGCGGAGAGGCAGTTGCTATCCTGATGGACTAACTACTACTCTGCATCTTGATGATTTGGAGTACTTAATAGAGTGCTTAAAGAAGCCTTTTGATGACGTTAAGAAAGTAGGCCTCTTTCCGTTTTTCGAGCAAGTCGAGCTATTTGGAACGCAACTTTCAAACGCAACATTTTCCCAGCTCCTAGTAGAATTTGGTGAGAATTGCCGATTGGATGGGTCTTAGTTTTTGTGTCAGCACCAGGACGTGAAGAAAATAGCTAATATGTTGGAGAAGGTTCAGGGGTTATCTCTGGAAGATCGTTTCAATTTTTGCTTTGCCCCTTGCAATACTAGGGATCCAAACGCAATGTACCATCTTCTGAGGTTCGCTTCATCGTATGCCCAGAAGCTTCCCGTCAATATAGCAATGGGCATGCCCAAGTGCTCAGCTCATAGTGATTCGGAGCTCTTGGATCTTGAGACTAGGCACCAAGTATTGTCTATGTACTTATGGTTGTCTAATCACTTTGAGGAGGAATGGTTTCCATATATTAAGAAGGCCGAGAAAATGGCTACAAATATTGCTCAGTTATTGGGTGAATCACTCTTAAAGGCTTGCTGGAAGCCAGAATCAAGGAAGGCATGCAAATCAAAGCTGCAGGAGGAGGATGGTTATCAGAGGCCAAGTTCACTGGTTAAGTTACAGGAAAAGTAAGTTGTATTGAATTGTTTGCATTCTTTTTCTTTTTTGTACAAGAATAATTATTTCTGAAAATTAGCAACATGGAGCACACTTGTTTCCTAGTACAATTTATTCATTTTCACTTCCACATTTCAATGCGTTTTCTGCAAGCTCTTATTTTCATTTGTCTTTTTGTATGATATCTCTTTCTTTATCATATTCTGTAGAAAGGATAGTTTAATGCATTGAGAGCTATGGTTCTGAATTGAATTTCAGAGTTGTTTTTCCTTTACACTTATAGAAAAGCTGTATATAGGTTTATCATTTTGGTGCAAATATCAGCAGCACAAATTTGTTGGAGTTTCAAAAAAGCTGTAATGGTCAACTAGGTATCTGTAGTTTCTTTTAATCATGTGGTGGTGAAGAGGAACTAAGAACTTTGAAAAGCACTTCGGAATATGAATATTTTAATCATGCAGAGCTGGATGGAATCATGTAATTCATAGACTGTCTTTTGGTCACAGTAGGAATAAAGACGGTAGTGGTGTCATTATAGAGGATCCTGTTGTTCCAAAGAGTAATTGTTTTGAGCATTTAGTTTAGATTATTAGCAAGGGCTTGAAGAGGGTAAAATAAAGTGGGTATCAGTGTAATAGGAAATTGTTCATGAAGTGTAATTTCCTTTTTAAAGAATCCGGTAATAGGTGAGCTTTCATGATTTTGCTATTGAACTGCACTTTTTCTTACCTAGCAGTCACACAGAATCATCTCTTTGAACACCAGACTGAAACTTTCATTATCTATACCATGACACAGAAAAAGGCACGAGAAGTCTTTGCCTAAGAGGAGGCTGGAGAAGGTAGCTACATAAAATTCTGTTCATAAGGTAAAATACTGTTCTCTTCCATCGCAATTGTTTTTTAATTTTAGTTTGCCTTATTCCTTTTTTCTATTGAATTATCGGAATGAGGGAAATTTATTCCAGAACCCTGTAACTTATACTATGACTGGGCATTGAAACTTAAGTATTAACGTAAGACTTGGAATCCACGATTCCTGCGATGTAGCTTTAATTCCTTAATGTTTTAGAGAACAAGTCAGAAAAACAACTGATGATGTCTGTCTTCATATTTGCTCTAAATATTGCTACTGAGTTCTAGTCTTGACAATTCTAATATGTGGAGTAGCTATATTCCTGCATTTTGAAGGCATGCTAAGTGCCTAGTTAATTTTATTTGTGGAATTTTCAACTACTCAGCTACTCAATTCTGAAACTGAGATGCAGCAATCATCAAATATGAGTGAATACATCACAATATTTCCAATTGAACTTGTAGCGCTTCACAAGATTGAATTACTATTATAATGGATAAAAAAGTAGGTATGAATACCATAATGAAAGTGGCAGAGGTGATTGGTTTTGTTAACAAATAAATGCCTATTAAATATTTGGGAGTGTCACTTTCCG